CATTAGTTTGTTTTGGATGAGGTTTTTCAGGATGTACCTACCTCTGTCATTTTTGGGATGCTTAGCAAAATAGGAAAGCAGAGAAAAAGCTTTGTGGCCCATATCAAGTATTGTGAAACTTCATGCCATGCAGCTGTCAATGTCTGGTTCAAGTACAGAATTACTGAGTAAAAGACTATGAGAGCGTTAGTCCTGGGCTTTCAATTCCCTGGTGTTGGGCTGGGAACTTCTGTGCGCAGTCAGAAAAAAAAGCTGCAAAACTGTGCAGAGCTGGAGAGTTTGTGTTTCTTCCCCTCCAAAGTTTGGGCAGTGGGCCTGCTCTTTTCCAGTGCATTTCTGCTGGTTGATACTGTGGAGAGAGAAGCAACCCAACCAACCCAACTTTTCCTTTTTTTGCAACAGTAAGGCAAAGCTCCTTACTTACTAGTGACCTGTGTACATATAGCCAAGCACAAAAAGTATTGAAACTTTCCTCTCTTGTCTGTGAAATAATTTCTTTAGAAATGTAAAGAATTCAAGCCCTAGCAGTGTTTCTGATTAATACTTTAATGCTTCGAATCTTTGAAACATTTGTTTTGTGACAAAAGATTAATCACAGTAGATTATCAGTTCTAAAGGTCTTTGGTTTATTTTGTATTGCTGGAAATTACATTGATTTAAAAACGAATGAATATCTCCTCCTAGGAGTGTATGTACTGTCTTCATCTGTCTCCCTGTATGAGCCTGCTGCATGTTGACAAGTCCTATAGAATTATTTTCAGACTGTTTGAGTGTTTTTTCCTCCTATTCAACTGTAAGCATAATGACAAATCAGAGCTGCAGTATAAAATGTATTTTGCTGGGAAATGACTGTGATGAATTCGATGCCGTGCTGGTTACTTGCTGTATTTCAAGGCAGAAGAGCTATATTTGATCTTGGGGGTGGAAGAGAAAACCACAGTGTGCAGGCTAGTGGCTGCTCTGTTTCTAATTTATTGGCAGTTTTGGGGGAAAAAGTCTGCATTCTCTTTTTATTTTTTTTAGACCAGATATTAGCATGAATTATGGCTCTAGCTATTTCAACAGGAGTTCAGTGGAAAATTTATTTCCTTGGAGAGTCTTGTGTAGTTCTGAGCCATAACTAAGTCTTTTAACTACTGCAAATCATAATAAAGAGTAATAGGTAAAAAGCCACTGCTCCTTTAAATCAGTGTCACCAGTGACTCAGAATATCTATTGATTTTTTTTGTTTATTCCTACCAGCAGTTTCAATTAAGATTCAGCAGGTCCACTCTGAGAAAACTCTGCATAAAACACTGCTTCATATTTTTGGTTAATACTGCTTTTTAAATTCTCTTTAAGAAGTGAACAATTAAAAGTAATTATATCTGTAACACATTAAAACATCAATCTAAAAGGCTAGTATAGTGCCCAATTCATAGCTTTTGGTGTGTATTTTTGAGTGTATAATTACTGGAATGTGTGTGTATATATATATATATAAATATATATATATATACACATGTATTTGATCAAATTTTTTCAGACAACAGCTATACAAATTTATAAAGTCAATTGTATTCACCCAGGCATACTACTTTCTGAATATGAGAGAACTGCAGCATGGTTTTGAAAAATAAAACCAAATGCTGTATTTTCCCTGCAAGTAGTGTCTGTATCAACAAATCATCTGGACAAAATGATTACAGGCTGTTTGTCTTCACCCTTTGTAATGCACTTAGCAAATTTCAGTGCTTAATCCACACGTGAACCATTTGATAATTTGGTGTTTATACCACATTTGTCAGTCCCTTTACTTGTATTCGTGGATTTTAGGGAAGCTAATTCCAGATGTGCAACAGCTGTTGTTCCACATAGGATTGTGTGACAATATTCTGCATGGAAGCCTGATGGAAGGAAGGTAACCTGAGGCTATGTCATTCTCTGTGAGACCTTGAAAGCTGCAGAAAAAGAAATGAGAAGGGCAGCCATTAGGGAGAAGAGCAAGATGCATGTATAGAATAAATGATAGTAATAAAAAGGTTTCCCTCCTGATTCACCATGCTTGCCATATAAATTTCTGTATTGGCATGTGTCCACTGCTGTAATTGTTTGCATTAAAAAGTAATACCAGGAATGTAGTATATTTTTAGCTCTCACTACAGCAGTTTGTCAACTAGAAACAAAAAAAAGGTTAACATTTTACTGTAAGATAGTTTTCTAAAGACCATCTGAGATCTCTGAGATCTGTGAATCCTTGTAATTTGGAAACCTTTGGCAAGAAATCTCAAAGTACAACACAAACATCTCTGAAATTTTAGAGACATACATTTGTAGCTGATTAATTTGTTATTTGCTGTATGTAGATCTTCCTGAAGTCTTCTTCCATTTCACAAACAACCTTAGATTATCCATTTCTGTTTTCACTTGGTAGGCTTCCGTTCTGTTTCCTAAGCAAGCAGTAAGTTTTTCTGTGCTTTCAAGGTTGTATGCTGGGGCACTTCCCTTGTTAAATGTAACTTCACTACCATCAACCTTTGGAAGAAGGCCTTTGAGAAGTGTATTAACTCTCCTACATGTTTGGGTTTCTGCTGGTTTGGAAACTGGCAGGTTAAAATAATAGAGCTAAAATGCATATCCTGCATGGTGAGTGAAAAATGTTAAGAAATAAGTTGCTGGTGTTCTTTTATGCAAAGAAGGATTAATTTAAAGGAGCTGCACTGAAGTGGGGCTTGAAATGTCCTGTATTGTGATTTTAAAATGCCAGAACAGGAAGAGACCTTTAAGATTGAATGGTGTCTAATGTTCATGACTGACAATTCACCATTGAAGGGCTAATGTTCTTTGGCTGTTTACCCGAAGAAATGGAGGATGTCGTAAATTTACATTGTAAAAAGTAATCAATATAAAGCCCAGTGCAAGGAGGATTAATCATGATGAAATGACTCCATCGAATGCCCATCTCTCCCTGAAAATGTGACACCAACTGATGTATTTAGGTATTGTTAGGACCTTGTGCTGCAGCTCTAATGAGAAGAACTCTCAAACAATATCACAAATCAAATAACTAAATCTAGTGCACGTGAAGTTGGTGTACTGGTCTTGGAGGAGAGAAGAGTGACAAGAATTCCCAGTTCGTCTCAAGGACCCCCTGTTTAATGAACAGGAGCAGTATCAGTAAGCAGGTTGAGCAGAAAATCTCCTCTAAATTAAAACGTGGGGAGAAGTGAGATGAAAAATAGCTAGAATAGGGGAGAGGGAGGACTGGAAAACTCCCCAGGTCAAAACAATAGAAAACATGGTGAAGAACTGCAAAAAAAATAAAGCCAAACTATTTAAAAATTTAAAAAGTCACTGAGACCAAAAACAAACAAAAAAAAAAAGAAATGGAGAAGTGGAGAAAAAGACAGATTTGTAGAAAAGATATTGATTTAACTTTAGCCTATGGCTCTTTGTGAAACGTGAGTTTAGAAGACCTTTGGTAACCAGATCAATAAAACCTTTAAAATCATTTAATTAGATTGAAGGCCAAATGATAAACCCTTGTGATAAGTAAAAAGTGTTCATTGTTCATTTGCCTTCCAATTGATGTTCCTTCAAGCTAAGAAAGAAACATGCTATGTTTGGACAGAAGGCAACATTGATACAGAAATGTAGAATACAAGGCAGTGGTTGCTTAGGGGTAGTTAAAACTATAGAACAAATGACAAGTTTGCCAAGATTCAAGAGGAAGCAGGTTTATATCTATGTATGAATCAAAACTGTCCCCACCTACTGTCCAGCAATATAGCTATGAAAGATGATTGGCTTTACATCTAGTTGCTAAAACTAGAGAATTCAATTCCAAATTTAATACTTACTTCAAATCAATTTATTTAGGTTGTTCAGGTGTTAAATCAGAAGCATGCTGAATTTAAGCTTTAGCTTTTTCGGTGTACTTTATATCTTTACAAAAATAAAACAGTGATTTCAAACATTTACAGGGGTTTTTAAAGAACTGTTTTATCATTTTTATGTTTTACACTAGTAAACATGCAGTTATTATTTGAATTAATGTACCATATTAATTCTTGTTTGGAAAGAAGCAAGCATCACTGTACATTTATTGGGCTGTAAGTCTTGTGTTTAGTAAAAATTTACTGTTCTGCCTAGAAGACACACCTTTGGAAATAAAAGAGCTTCACTGATGATGAACATATTAATTGTATGTGCCATAAAGCTATTTGTCTGAAGGGACCACATCCTGCATCTTTCTAGAGCTTGGTGTCTTGTGTCATTTCAAGTAGTAATTCTTGAGTGCTAAACCTGAAGTAAATGGAACACTCCCTCTACACCATCATAGATAAGTTTTAAATTATGTAGGGATGAACTTGACAGGATACCTTCAATCTCTGACCTTCTCAGAGTCTTTCCTAAAGAGGACTGGAAGTCCCCTGTTGTTGTCTATGTGATAGAGTCTTTATTGCACACTGGTTTGAAGTTGGGTGGATTTCTCTGGCTGCACATTTTTTAAAGTGCTCTTAAAAACATTATTTGTGCTCTTACTGTACTGTAATGCCAAAGGAAAGGTCACAGAAATTTATGTTTTTACATTAAAATATATAAGAGAAGGTCATGGAGTCAGCAGAGATGAATGAAAAGCTTTTTCATCCCTCAGCTGAGTAAACTGTGAGATTCTGAGTTTATTTGGGTTGGGTTTGATTTTTTTTTTCAACCTGAGCATTAGGCTTTTGGAATGAAATTTGTGTTCAGACATTGTTTTTAGTATCTTCCCTTCACAGTTGCTTCGTTTTCAGCATTTCATTTATATTCTGTAGCATATAGCACCATAATAATTCAGTGCCCTCAAGCAAAAATAGAGAAGAAAAAACCTAATTCAGAAGAGTGCATCTGTTTTTGCCTTATGGTTTGTTTGCAGCTGACCTTTGATAACGGTTGGTTCATACTTGCAGATTTTTAAAATTCATTTTGAGCATGTGCTTTTCTGAACTTTTTATTAATTTTTTTTTTTTCTTTTGCAGATTACAGATAGAAGAATCTTCTAAACCTCTGAGGCTATCACAACAGCTGGACAAAGCTGTAACCACGAACTATAAACCAGTGGCTAACCATCAATATAATGTAAGTAGCTTTTAGTATTTTCCCTTCTTCTCTTCAGGAGGAGTTTGGCTTAGGATTCCAGAATTGGTCTGCTGCAGTCCTGCAGCATTTTGCTCAGAGTTGGCCACTGTCTTTGGAAATGCTCCATGTTATCTGGTTTTCTCCCTGATTTTGTCTTCTGGGGATCTTTTTGTCTCATGACCAATATCACCCTTGGGGCTGAGGTCTGCCAGTTCTAACTGTCTTGTGTTACCTGATGGAGGACAGACCATCTTCACCCAAGCCTTTTTAGTGGCTTTATTACATTCTTCCTCTAGTCTTTTTTTTTAAATGCAATTTTGAAGTTTGTGGATAAAAAGCAGTTCTGGCTTTATGCTATGAGATGTGGAAGCACTGCTTAAAGCCAAATAAAATATCATCTGGAGCAGGGTAAAGGACTTGAAAAGAATCATTAGTTTCCAGTCTTTTGGAGCAATTAACAAGTAGAAAAGAATAACAGCTGATAATTTTTCACATTTCATACCTTCACAGTACATGTTATTGGCATCATTGGCTTTGTCAATATTACACCCACACTACTCTTCCAGATCAGTTGATGTACATACAAACTATGATGTCCTTTTCCTAAAGATCCTCTTTGAGTAATTTGTATTTGTGCATATAGAATCACTGTTACTGTTGAATGTGAGAAATGTTAAATCATGCTTAAAATGAGTCACTGTGTTAGTCATTTAAACTTTTACACTTTTTATTAAGATTTTATTTACATAAAACAAATGACAATATACTAGATGATATTTAATCCTTATTATGAAAGTCAGTCCATTTCCACAGAACCAAAAATAATCGTTTCTCTCTCATGGGACTGTTTTGTAGTAGTTACTGTTGAAAGCCTGATCTATACATAGATGATCATACCAATATAACTATTGCAACTGAGGGAATGACATTTAACCAAAATAGTCACACTGGTATGTCCTGCTGTGGAGATGCAGTTTTGTGTGAGTAGATTCTTTTATGATGCCACTGTTATTCCCCTTCTTTAATTCTGAAATAACCTTCAGTGATGTACAGCTTCTCTTTCTAGCAGGATGCTGTGCCATTTCCCTGACACTACCATAATTACAGCAGTATGACTTCAACCTGGAAACAATCTTAGTATCTTTATTCCAGTTGCAAACTGCAGTCATCATGTCATTACAGAAATTAAAGTCTCCTGTGAGCTTGAGGGGGTATAAATAGAACATAACTGGGGCTCTTAGAAGTGATGATTCTCTTGTAATGTTTTTTATTGGTTACATGTCTGTCTATGGTAATGGAAATTCATTGGCAGTGTGTTTACTTTTCGTGTCTACCTTAAAGGTGTTCTGATAGGAAAATGCTAGTAAGAAGTACTTGTACTTGAGTCACCCTTGACCTTGCCTTGACTCTAAAAGCCCAAGCATGACTACCTTTCAAAAACATCTTTCTCTTCATTAAGTCTTTTATTAAGGTACAAGTTAGATGGCTGGGAAAAAGTCCGTGAACTTTTTAAACCTCTTGTTCTCTTGTTTGAATTTGTCTGCTGTGTTCAAGCAGCAATTGCTTTCTTAAAACTTGCTGCACTGCTTGTAATCATATGACTTATGTTGGGGACAGGACTTTTCACAAGAAAGAAGAAAAAAATACCATATGCTGATACATTCAGTCATCATCTGGGCAGTTTCTGAGAATAGAATGAGTATCTACTAAATAAGAAAGAAAGGGTTAACATTCCCTGAAGGAAAGCATTTAAAACAGTGGCTGCTCCATGTACCTATAAATTTACATACAAGAAGAAGGAGGAGGGAAATAAATTATATGTGGACGGGAAATAGCAATAGCTTGTTTGAATTCAAGGACTGGTAAAGTGATTAGAGGTTTTTTCACTAAATTATATTAAGCCTATCTTTTCTATTAGAAAAAATTGCAATTCCATTACAATATATGCTAAGACTGTGACTTAGCTTTTCTTCTCTGGGAAAGGGACCTTCGTTTTCTGTATGTCTGTAAGTGTTACACGTGTTTGCAAGGTTAATATTTTTGCAGCTGGATTCTTTACATGATTGAATTGTAATACAGCAGAAAATTTCTCTAGTGGTCCTGGTTACCTGTGCTGGTTTAGAGGTAAACCAGCAGGGGAAATGAACCCAACTCAAAAGAGAGATTATAACTCAGAATAACAATTTAATAAAATAATACAATAAGTGCGATTATAAAGACAAACAATTGGTTTTAACCCAGAAAACCCAAATGTATAACCCAGCACCCTGGGGCATGAACAGAGTGGTGTTCTTTGGGCCCCCTGAGTCCAAAGTAAAAGGAGAGGGGAAAACCTCTTGGTGAGAGTGCTGTTGCAGTCTGGTCAAGAGTGGCGATGGCAGTCCAGTCGAGAGTGGTGGCTGCAGTCCAGTCGAGAGTGGTGGTCTGCAGTCTTCCTCTGGATCCCACGAGTGGTTAAAAATGTCCCAAGACTCCAAGTTTATATATCCTCCAGTTCAGGCAGGAATGCTCAATACCTCCCTCAGGGCAGGGAGTTCCACAATGGGTATGAGGACAAGAACACTCTCCTGTCTCACAGGCCTCTTAACACCCTGTTTATAGCCTGAGGAGTCAGGCATGCTGTGGGCAGATAGTGTAAATGGTCTATTGATAACAGTTTCTGGGAAATGGCATGGAAGGCTATAGAATACACAGTTTTGGCTTACACCCATACGGTGATGAACTGGTCCCAGCTCTTCTAACTAGGACATTACCCCTTCAAAGACTTCTTTGTGATCCCCTCTTCCCACTGTCCTGGACTGGAGAGGTTGGTACCCATGCTCCAGGAGATAGGGAAACCTTTGAGACTTCTTTCAAGCATCTTCAGATGAAACTTTAGATTTAGATTGCTTCTCTATCACCTTTGTATTATCTGTCTACTGAAGCAGCTACATCAGCTTCAGTGTTAATGGTACTTCAAGAAGGCAATTTTGACAGCTTTTCAGCAAGCTTAGCAACATCGTGGGAAGGTAAACAAAGAGAAATTGATTTCAGTATGAAGTCTTGCAGGAATAAACTCACAACTTCTATGCTAAACAGTTTCTTCTAAGATGGTCTTTCCTTGAAGTAAAATCATATTTGAATGCTTTTTAAATTAAAAAACCACACAGCTTTAAAACAAATCTAATTAGTTTACAGAGTTGGCACGTTCTGTAATATGATTATTAAAAAGTGTGTTAAGCCTACTGCGTAAAAGATTCCATTTGCAAAGAAAACAGGAAGGAAAAAAATGAAAGGCTGCATTGTAACTTGCTATGAGCAGTGTATTCACAAAACAAAAAAGAAGAAAACAGCAACAGAGATACCATTCTTTTTTTTTTCAGTAGCACTTCAGAATGTGCTCTGTGTTTTTAGACAACTATGGGAGCTGTCGCTAAAGTTGGAGGGAAATGCTAGAGTGTTGCTAATTAGAATGTGGACAACTGGGACACCAGCTGCAAATAACTTTTCAGTAAAGGGATATTCAGTTTTCTATGTGAGTTGGTTTTATACATTAATGAATTAAGAATATTGGAATATTCACATTGCATTTGCCTAAGGAATACAAATACTCCTATCTGATTTACCTTAGCTCATCCAGAGAATGTAAAATAGAAGCTTCTACTGCAGAGAGTGTGCTGAGGCAATAAAATAATAGAGAAAGAAGAATGCTGGGCAGTACAATTTACTACCAAAAAAAAGACTGTGCATTGGTTAAAAAGACTATTTCGTGTTATTTCCAGGAGACTGTTAATTGCATCCTTGGGATTTTATACCCAGTCATGAAATAGTTGTCTCAGAGACCTAATATCAGTGAAGAATTTTCTTATTGTTACTTTGGGGTTTTGTGTAGGAAGCATCAATTTTTAAGCAAATATGTTTTTTTCTGCACATGGAAAGAGTTATAGTTGATAGCTGGTTGCTTGCTAAGCACATTTTCACTATATGTCATTTGAAGAGTACAAACAGTACCGTGGATTTTTTGATGTTGATCTTAGAGATTGCCTTGAGAGTCCCAGCAGCTTTTCCCGTTACAATCATGTTGCTTACCCATTATTTCCATAGCTCTGCCTCATACAGAAGGAATAACCTCAGTGCTTCGCTCTTGTTCTTGCTCCTTAAAAACAAAACAAAAACCAGAACAGGAGGAAATCCGGTTCTTCCATCACTTCAGCTTAACCTTCCACCTAAGGAGGTTCCAGTTTGTTTCTGGTTTTCTTCTTGTTCATTTTGATTTTGTCAGTTGGGGAGGTAGAAGACTTCAGAAGGGTTAGTATAACAGCTGCTGGTGTGGCACAGGGATGCAGCCTGTGTCTTTGTCTTTTATGCCTCATCTTTCAACTGGTGCATTTTTGAGTCAGAGAAAAGTTGCTGCCCTCAGAAACAAATGCATAAGTCTTTGCACTGAAAAGTGACCTTAGGTGTATGCAGGAACCCAGAACTCAGTCAAGCATTGCAAATAGAGATGCCACCTTCTCTCCTACCATCTTCTGAACTTCAGCTCTGAAGTGTTGGATGCTTTTCTGGCAACAAATTAAGGCTGGATAATCCATCTCTTCTTGTAAAATGTTAACATCTGCATGTATTCAAAAAATTTTTAATGTACTTAGTCCTAATTTCCCATAAACCAGTGTATCAAATGTAATAGGGCTCCAATGAAAATCCAGTAGAGTGTTTTTTACTGATATCATTTGTGACCTGATCAGCAACTGCACAGAGAAACTGGAAAATTCTGTGCATCCCTAAGTCAGAAAAGGCTGAAAACTCAGGCTCAAGAAAGCCAGCTGCAGCTGATTGCAGTGACTAGTTAGGAAACTGCTTCCAGGAGAATACAGTGTCAGTGTCTTGATTCCATGAAGTTGTAGGTGTGCTTTCCTTCTCGTGTCATACAACATATCCTACAGGGCAGTAATTCCAATGAACTACCAAGGGAAAGAATCTGGAGCAGTTTTCTAAGAGGACCAAAAATGTTTGTTGATTAGGTTAGATGATTTTTAAAAAGACCTCAACAGGTTGGAGAGATGGGCAGAGAAGAACCATCTGAAGTTCAACAAAGGCAAATGCAGGGTCCTGCACCTGGGACGAATAACCCCAGGCACCACTAAAGGATGGAGGCTCACCTGCTGGGGAGCAGCTCTGTGGAGGAAGACCTGGGGGTCCCGATAGACTACAAACTGTCCATGAGCCAGCAATGTGTCCTTGTGACCAGGAAGGCCAGTGGTATCCTGGGGTACATTAGGAAATGCATTGCCAGTAGGTCAAAGGAGGTAATCCTGCTCCTCTGCTCAGCCCTAGTGAGGCTGCATCTGGAGTGCTGCATCCAGTTCTGGGCTCTTCAGGACAGGAGAGACAGGGAGCTCCTGGACTGGATCCAGTGGAGGGCTGCAGAGATGTTCAGGGGACTGGAGCATCTCTCTTACGAGGAAAGGCTGAGAGAGTTGGGCCTGTTCAGCCTCTAGAAGAGACAACTGAGAGGGAACCTCATCAATGTGCATATTAATGCCTTTTTGACACTTGAACGCTCACGGATCTCATACTTCATCCTACATTTTGCACAACAAGGAGCCAGTCTCCTACTCCCCACTCTTTGTGTCATTTCTTTATGTGCTTCATACAGAAACCCTTGTTCACATACCAGGACATGGATAATGCTGTAGTTATAGTAACTTTTAGATGAATGAGATTTATCCAGCTTCTTCAATAACTGCATGATGATGTGAACATACCCACATAACTGGGCAACTGCTTTGTTGGTGGAGCTGCAACCAAGAGAGGCAGGTAACCCCTAGTGACCCTGGCCATACTGTTTGGTAAAGAATTCAACTCATGTCATGTTATGGTGTCATAATTTTCTATTGTATTAATGGATCCTGACAGTATTCGGGGTTTTTAGTTTTAAAGTGTGTCAACTGAGTAGACTTGTTCATATATATATATTTCACTGCCATTGCAGTTCTACTTCCTGTGGTTTTGACTAGGTGCAGTCTACGTGCATTGTCCTGCATGGTGAGATTGTACCAGTAGAGAAACAGAAATGCAATCTACAACAGGACCTCCAAAGCTTGCAATTTAGACCTTTTCAAGGTCAACAGAAGCTCCTAATAATTTTCTCTTGGAGTTCAGAAGAAGCGAATGTTTTGACGTACTATGGTTTATAGGAAATCCAGTGTGCTAGGTTTACGTTCCTACTCTAGTGTCTGTGGTGTAGCAGCTCTGCTGTAGATCATGTCAAGCGAGATGATGTACTGTGAAGTTGGTTTACTTGATGTTACAGTTTGCTATTGTTGCAAAGCTATCACTGTTTTAAAGATTTGTTCTTCTTTAAATGCAGAGGCTAAAGAGTTAAATAATTACACAAACCTGTATTAGTGGATAAAAATCAATTGTGTGGTGGGTTTGTGTGATTAGATTGTAGCTTTTATAACACTAATATGCAGTTAGAAAAGCAGACAAGTATTTGGTTGTGCAAACCCCTTTTAGGTTTAAAGCAGAAGAAACAGACTTCAAGCTATAGGTTGGGAACAATTGCTCTGCATTCAGTTACATCTGTTTCAGGATTTGAAAGATATTTGGCTGGCTGGAGATCTGTGAGCTATGGCAAAGGTGGTAATAGTCTTAACCTGCTTTGGGACATCTACCAAGAGACAGGCTATTTTCACTCTGAGACTAGGAGGGAGTTAGCTGGCAAGGAAACATAGGAAAAAAAATAAATTGTGCCATAAAACCAATCTCTCTTCTTAAAAATAAGATTTTTAGTATCCAGTAGAACTGTGAATTTTCATTTCTAGGCTTTTTATCCAAAGGCCTTCCTTTTGAGGATCAGGTTTGAGACATCAGAAGCGGAATGACTCGCATACAAAATTATCCTAGCTTACAGCCAGGCATGTGTCCCTCATGGATCACATGAATCTTTTCTGCTGTACATTGTGCCTCTATGGATTCACCCACGCAGTTTGCCTGAAAGCACTTGATGATTACATGAGTTACATTACCTTCTGCGTCACTTTTGTTGGTTCTGAGGAGCTTGGTGGTTTTCTGTTATCGAGGGTGGTATTGGGGGTGGATGGGGTGATATGCTGGCAGGTGTTGTGGTTGGTGCTCTGTGGTAATTGGGGTTTGTTTGGGGTGTGCTGGTCTGTGCAAATCATGCTGTTAATGATGAATCAGAGGAAATATTTTTGGAAGTGATAAAAGTTTCTGCAAAAATACATGGTCATCTTGTGCAGATTATAATGGTTAAGTAATTTTTAATATGCAATTTGAAGTAGTATGATGTGTGGCAACAAGGGGCCTCTCCCTGCTTAGAAGGTTTATGTTTTTGGGTGTAACTGTTGTAACTTTGGGTATACTACTGGGATTTGTCCTGAAGAGAAACCATCTGCATCCTCAAAGCATGTCTTCCATTGCTGAAGACTGTATATTAACAGGGTGGATGCCTTGAGTACTGTTTCTGGAGTAGATAAGGCAGTGCCCAAGGCCTGTCTGAGCATCCTTTGGGTTGTTATGCTTGCAGATGCAGACCATGTTGGTCTGTGAATTTTCCCAAGTATGGCAGTTTGTAAGTGGTTTGACATTTGTTGTTATACTTCAGAAGCTGATATCAACAGAGGTGGATGGAGAATCCCATCTCAGTTTGGATTCCTGACCTATTATTAATTTTTCCTCTAGGTTTGGGAACACCATGCAGGCTCTGTTTCTGCGTTTTTTTTCTGGTTAAAGCAGAAATACATATCTGAAAAGCTTATTGTGCTGAGGACAAAATGCTTAGTTTGTGTTCGTAAAAGAACATTTGAATCTTCAAAAGAAAATTTTCCAGATGAAAACCACTGAGTCATTAAACAGTGTTTTATTAAGTAGAAGAGGTTTTTTATATCTTGATGTTCACCACTGAGAATTACAGAGCATTACATATGAATTGTCTTCAAAATGTGTTTTGTAACAGATTGAATATGAGAAGAAGAAGAAGGAAGATGGAAAACGAGCTCGAGCTGATAAACAACAAGTGTTGGACATGCTTTTTTCAGCCTTTGAGAAACATCAGTATTACAACATTAAAGACCTGGTGGACATAACCAAACAACCCGTGGTATGTACTAGGAGTCTTGTAAATACAACCATTTTCAGTCGTTACTATTGTGTATATTTTACTTATCCAGAAAATAGTTTAGTACGTATTATATACCTTTGAAACAGCTCTCTAAATATGTTTCACAATGGACTGAATTCATCAGTTTTAAGTTTGTTATTGTAGGACAGTGTAGGATACCAGTCATTGCAGTGAGTATGCTTTTTCTCGACAGAGATGGTTTAAATAACCTAAATGATCACTTTCTTATTTAGGTTTGCTTTAATACCGGGAACCAAATTCTATAATGCTCTCATGTCTCCCCTGCTACTCTCCTTGGTGAAGCCTAGTTCTTTTGGCTGTAGACAGCTTCTATAAGTGTGTGGTCAGTCCTTCCTTCAGCTTCTGAATTTTATCTTAGCAGAGCAACAGGGGTTACTCTTTTTCTGTGGGTCTAAAAAAAACTGTGTTTCATGGAATTAGTATTAAATGCAGCCATTATCCAGCTCAGGCATCATGTCAATGTTCCCAAAAGCACTGGATTTCCTTTACAAATAGAATAATTTTTAGGATAAGAGTTTAGGTGGTTGATATTTAGGATTTATTTTGGGTTAAACACTCTTTTGATACACAAAAAGGAAAAGCACAAAGGCATCTGCTTATGTGGTGGTTTTGTTGTCTTGCAGTGTCTGCTAGCCTCTTCATCTGTTTATCCTAACTTTCCAGTTCTTTCCCTTCTTCCCCTGTTCAAGCTTTCCTTGAGCAGACCAGTTGGGATGCGGAGGGAGATGATGACACGTGAAGTATCTTTGGTGTTTTTGATGTTTTTCACTGCCAACTTAAATATCTATCCTCAACCCAGCAGCAGATTTCAAAAAACTTAAAGGGACTTAATTTTGAGTCTAAATGAAGCAACAATGTCACAAGAGCTAAAGCAGAAGAAAGAACAGCAACATCTGGATTATGGAAAAAATACTCCTATGTAAAAAAAGGGGGGGAAAATAAAGATGCTTACTAGTTTTGCTCACTTCATGTTTAGAATTAAGTATACCTGTGTCAGAGCATTGGCATAAGGTGCACAATATAGTTAGAAGCTGCACAAAGATGTTACCCAACTCAAACCCATGTAGGTTCACTGTATTCTAGTACCTTGAAAGAAACTAGTTGAGTAACATATTTGTGTCTTCCATTCCATTCATGTATCTCACGAGTCAATTCTTTATCTGTGTGGCAGAGAAGGTATGTGGATCATGGGAAATGAGAAGGAGGAAGGAATAGGAGGAAGATATGGAGGAAGTGGCAAGAAAATTTTAAGTGTTTTTGTTTGTTTTGTGATTTTCTGGTTTTGGTTGTTGTTTTTTTTTTTTTGTTAGAGAGGTGTAACAATCACTGTCTTGATCACTTTGAATGTACGTAGGTGCAGATTTATCCCATCTAGCATGACATCAGCTAGCAATAGTCATCCACAATTCCCACTTAAACGTCTAGAGAACTTGAAGTTACAAATAAGTAAGGGTATTTTTCTTACATAATGGTAAATGTAAATAGTAAATTAAACCCTTGCTACAGAATATGTTGCATGTTACACAGGAAATTGCTGCCAATTTTATTTGTGATCATAAAATCACAAAGCAAGTCTGTTCTGAATACAAATATTACGGTAACCTGGGTTTATTTGTTTTCCATTTTAATGAAAAATAACAATTTGCACTAGTAGGCAAATCTATTGCCACCTACCCAGATGTAAGTACTGAGTGCTCCCTGGAAATACTACAGTAGTTCTAGATTTGGGCTACATGGTTGAGAACATAATACAATTTTCCGTGAGCAATCAAATGTTTGTGAAGAATGGAACCAGTATGGAACCAGTGGTCCAAGATGAACTGTCTTTTTAAAAAATTACATTTTAGCTTGAAGTAATGGTTGTCCTAAACACAGTGGGGTTTGTTTTCCCCTCGAGGTTTCAGAAGGATTTTCAGAGCTAGAAATTTCACTCCTCAGTAATTTTTATCCCACGATTCTTTAATAACATTTCACTTTCTATGAAAAAAAATCAAGAGGGAAGGTGGAACAGAGCAGGGGATGCCTTGAATGTACAAACAGATCACGTACAAATGAGCTTCTGTGTTAGAATTCTATGTATATAAGCATACTGAATCCCTTTCTGAGAAAAAAATTGTGGGTCCCCAGTATTTGGCATTAGTGGGGGAAGTGTGGAGTTTCTCTTGATGGTATGGTGTCAGAGTAGTATGTTTCATGATGTATAGGCCAGCCTGGTGCAGTGAAGACCCAGATGGATAGTCCTGGTTTCTAGGAGAACTGATCCTGCGGGAAAAATCCTAACGTCCCTTGAACTCCCCTCATCAAGACACTTGCTTTCAAGTAAGGTACAGCACAACAGGATTACCCCTGATTTGTAATTGTCTAAAAGCTCCAGCAGTTCACTGTTATCTGTGCACGTACAGTGATTTTTCGGGGGGCTAATGTTCTTAGCTGCCCTCTCTAAAGCCACTGCTGCCTGGTTCTCCCCTGCACCAGAGATGGCAAATCATCAGTTGCTGCGGTTTCACTGGTTCCAGCTTGAAGTTCCTTTACTTGTGGCACTTGCTATTCACTTTGGGTTGGTGTTGTTCCATTTTGTTATGCTGTTGAATCAAAAATCTTGGAAGTTTTGCCCTGAGAGAAGCAGAACTGCCTGGGGAGTTAGGTCTGAAAACTAGCTGAAATTAAAAGTAGCCCTCATATAGCTGGGTGGGCAGTTTTGAGTGAGTGAGCGCCAGGAGCTTTGGAACGTGCAGCCGCAGTGGTTTTGCACTGCCTGAGCCCAGCAGCACCCTCACGCCTTGTGACCTGGCTTCCCAGATACAGACCTGTCAGCCCAGGAAATGCATATGGATGTACTTCATGAGACTAAATGCAATTATAGGATTTTTTTCCCCAATTCTCTGTTCATGTGGTCTAGAGCAGAATTTAACCTTGCATCCAAGAGTTCCTTCCACGCTCTCTGCCATGTTTTGAAGTCTCTGTCAGTCGTACTACTGAAAGCTACCTTGTGTGCCTGCACAGGGATTGCAATCAAGGCAGTGGATATGCAGCTTTACCCATCTACCCATAACCCATGTAGAAACCTCTTTCTCACCTGCTTTCAGCACCTTCAAAAAAGTGCGTGGCACAAAGAGAGTGTCGTCCTACAAAAACGTTTGTGCACTGATTGCTGTTGGAGTGAGCGCGTTTGTCCTGCGTACCTGACTCCGGAATAATGACGGCATCTCTGCAATAGGCAAGATGCAGAAAGGTGTGCGAAGGGATGTACAGCGATCTGCTGCTGCCACCTGCTGGGGTTGGCATCCTGCGCCCTCGAAGGCCAAGGAACCATCCTGGCAGTGCAAAATAAACTCTCTGCTCACAGCTCCTGTGCCCAGCCACTCCGCTCCAGGAGAAGACCCTAAGAAAGTAGTTCTTATATGCAGTCTGCTACGATCACCTTTCTTACTTGTGGGACCAACACCTCTTGTTGCTTTGAGATAGGTTTTTAAGAATAATTTTGCTAGATGAGTCCACATGAAGTGTCATCATTAGTGTGGGATCTGGATTTTTATTTTACTTTGTATATTTTTGATGTGTACCTAGAAAGTAATGATTGGTTTCTCTAAAAGAGACATTTTTTTTTCTGACTGAGAACATAGTTTTTATTTGTTTATTTCCCACCTTTTCCATTTAGCAAAAGGGAGAAGAGTGTAAGGAACAGACTGGGCCATCAGCATTTCTTTTTTCTATGTCCTCAACAAATATTTGCTGGTTTTAATGAGTTAGAGTATATTGATATTTGCGCTTAGTGGAACTGTAGATGCAGAAAATACATGGGTTCCAATAACTCCAGTACAGTATATGCACTCCAAGAAGATTAAATTGCTCAAACTAAAGCAATTATGAATTTAATGTGAGGATTCTTAAACTGTGGTCTGTGGTTGCCATGGCAATCCATTCACATCAGTCCCAATTAATATTTAAACAAACAAGCAAGAAAATGGCTCTTAAGAAAATTACTGGTGTTTATTATAAAGAGTAAAGCAGGGCAATATTAGTGAGCTGTGTTTTCTCAAAGGTTATACTGCTGGTATCATAGCTGTACTTGTTTTGGGTTTCTTTCTTTCTCTTCCAAGTCTAAATAATTTAATGTATTAGAAAATCTTCTGACATCTACTCAGTTCTCCTCTAAAAATGAGGCCATAATAAAATGCTTAAAGCCCTTAAGCCAACAGCTTGGGGCTTTGATAGTCTGAATAAAGCAAGGAGTTTCAAGATAATCCCAACTCAAGCAAGAAGAAAGATCAAGAGCTTTTAGCTCAAGTGGAGGAATTCCAGCAGGAGGATGCATGAGATAACCTCAGCATTAGCTTCCCAGGAGGTTCTGGGAGCTTCATTTTGGCAGCCCATGGAGCATCCATCTTGCTAGTACTTGCCTCTCACAGGGGACTGGTGGGAGCCATCATCCCTGGGGCTCGGGTGCTCCCTGCTGCATCCCTGGGGCCTTGCACCAGGTGTTACACCCGGGCTGCTCTATCCCTGGTGGAGCCTGAGGGTTGAAGTCCACGGCAGAGCCGTTATTGCCAGCGCCAGTCAACCAGCCTTGCTGTCCACGCCTTGTGAACTGGGTGAATGCAGTTGAGCAGATATGTAGGAACCCTGGCAATTGCCTGCCTGTATAATATGAATTTTTGTTTTCTTTCAGATATACTTGAAAGAAATTTTGAGAGAAATAGGCATCTACAATGTGAAGGGGACCCACAAAAACACATGGGAGCTGAAGCCAGAATACAGACACTACCAAGGAGAAGAAAAGAGTGATTAACAAAAAAATTTCAAACCAAGAGAGAATTACAGTTATTGCACTGAGGGAACTGTGGTGGATTTATAGGCAGGACTGAGCACAGTGCAATTATGCAAGGATAAAGATAAATTAAAGCAGCTGATACTTTGTAATTTTCTGTAGCTCTTTTCCCAAGGAATATTTCTTGTATGTTTCTATAAGTGGGTTGTCTTTTGACAGGAAAAAAAATGTTTATAGAATAAACTTGTATTAGATTTATCTTTACTAGAAATCTTTTGAGCTCTGAACTTACTTTTTTTTTGTAGCTTTGTGGCTTTTCCAAGCCTCAATGACTTTGAAGGAAAACGTGTCCTAGAGGAACCCAGGACTTTGTGGGTTTGCATTCTAGTATAACCAGGTTAATACCCTCAGTTCCGCTGGGATCTGCTAGGGCTTCATCTGGAAGGCTGCAAGGGTACACAACCCTTTGTGCAGTGTTTGGGTGGAATGGACAGGATGCTCCTATTAGGATCGGGCTTTAGGAAAAACAGCCACAACCATGGTGCTCATCACAGTCCTCAGACTCCGTGGGAACAAATCAATAGTTAAAAACCCGTAAAGCAAAGGCTGTTTGACACACAGGTCAGTGGGACAAGGACAGTCCCCTCCAGGTGATTACTGAGAAAAAACTGAAATGCCTGTTAGGTACAGCAAGGAGTAGTTTTATTTTTGTTTTCTTTTTATGCTGATACCTATGTTCTGTTCAAGCATATCAATAAAACGTTATTTTAATTTGTACCACGCAATGCTCTACATTATTGACTGAACATGTGATTTAGGTGGCATAGGTCTGAAGGGTGTTTTCAAACCAAGGGGGTTTTATTGCAGGCTTTGCCATTGGATTCCTCTGTGCTTTGGGAAAGATTGCTGAATTTATCTGTGTCTCTGTTCCCCCATTTTTGAAATGTATATTGCAAGGGTTGTCTGTTCAGCATCCTTTTGGGAGGGAACTATTTAATTATATTCTCAAAGCTTTTATGTTAAAGAAAGAGCAAAGAACATGCTGGAAAAAACCTTATTAGTATACCTGTAAGTGAAGCAGGTGAGGTTTGATAGCACAACTTTCACACTCCCTCAGGTCCTTCAGACTGTGCATCATTTCTGCCCACTCTAATGAAACAAGGTCTGTGTGAAAAGCAAACATCCCACTATTGGTCCACTTAGAAGCAATGAAAGGCTTGCAGGGGTGTCAAATGCCTTTGGAGGCTTGTAAAACTCTGACCCCAATTTTACTCATTTATTTTTTCTAGAGTTGTTTGTGTAGTTATCTCTGTACAGATACACTTCCTGCTGGTGCTCAGCTTCCTGTGGTGTGAAGTGTTCAGTTCCCAGGAGGTAGTCTGCTGAGAGTTTTGAAGAGCAGATCACATTCCAGAGATATGTGTGTGCTTTCATAGATACTGCCATTGACTTGTGTCTCCTTAGGCTCTACAAGCAGGACCCAGCTTGCTAACAGTTGCAGGAGACATCTGAGGATGCTGAGGAACTCAGGAAGTCAGCCTTTGTGTCTTGCTGTGGTACATGATGTGCTCTCCAGCAATAGCCAGAGCCTGCACACATTGCTGTCCTCATTGGGCTGTTTGAGTCCTCCGTGGGCTTGTGTTCACTGACATGTAGGATGAGAGCTCCTGTTTTTCATGAGCTGGGCTCCTCTGTTCGATTTGTGTCCTGTTTTAGCAGCTGAAGTACCTAGCAAGTCTAGATCAGCTTTTCCTTTGTGTTGCTCCTCACATGGTCCTTTAAAACCATGCAGGGGAATGCCATGCAGTCCTGATTTAGGAGTACTGTAATTCATTGTCCCAGGTAAAAATGACCATGCTGTTTCAGAGGGCAATGGTTACCTTTAGTGGGATCCACGGCAGGATTAGCTTAGCAGGAGAGTGTTTTGGATCTGCTTTAGTTTTGGTATTATGAGCTGTTTCACAGTTAGACTTCAATTGAGAAGGACATAATCAGTCAGTGTAAAATGCCACATGATTTAAGTAAAGGAGGTATTTTATTGATCTGTAGAATGCCTTGGACAGGGTAGATAAGCTCTATTCAAGTGTAATGGGAAGTGTACAGAGCTTTTTATGGGATTTATGGTTTTTACAAAAGACTGGGGTTTTTTTATGAGTATCATTAAAAACGTGGAGAGTGCTAGAAGTAAACAAACAGTGGAGTTTTCAACTGATGAGCAACAGAAAGGTTGAGGAATGCCAAGGTGCACTGGTTTGCTTGCAGCCTTCTGTGTAATAGCACCAGTTATAAAAAATGAGGAACAGGACAGTGAGGAAACACCATTTAAAAAATGGAACTAGGAAATGCTATGCCAGGGTAAACTAAGAAAAGATAACCAATGGACAGTCCAGAAGCCAGGCAGCTTGTGAAGTACTTTTTTACCTCCTTCCTGCATGATTTTGAAGGCTTTCTGGTTTGCTAGGGTGCAATTGGAATTTTAGCCCCAAAAGCTGCCACAAAACCCAAGTGGCATGAGAGAAGGGATCAATGAGCCCACAGATATGCTGATGTAGAGCATGAAGAATGTACCATGCATTCAAGGACTCTGCTGGCTCCTGCCTGGTAGGAGTGCATTAGTTCTGCAAGAGGACCTTATGCAAGTGCTGTTACCAGGATTGCCATCTGCCAGAAGAGAGGAGGAGGCTTGTAGGTGTTCAGGTCTGATTAAAATGAGCTTAAAAACATGTCCATTCTCAAGCATTACTTCTCCCAAATGACTAGTTTGAGTCACTGGACATTTCATACTCAGTAAACCCAGCCAGTTACTAGCATGGACCTGAGCAGACTGGAGGTGATGGTAATGCAGCTACTCCATTAGAGACACCCCCATGCCAGGGGGCTGGGAGTGGGCAAGAAGACACATGACTGGAGGCTGCTACTGTAAACTGGGAAAGGCATGGATTCAAACCCAGAATGGGACGGGCTGGTCCCAGTGCTCTTGTGTTCCGTTCCCTGCCTGCCCACAGCTCTGCCTGCCTCATCCTCTGCTGCCCTGCCTGTAGCCAGCCAGGAAGCTGCTGGTGGGACAGCCTGGTGGGCAGCAGGGTTGCATGAGGAATTGGAGCGGAAAACACATTAGTTTTGAGCCGGCAGAAAGTTATATGGCTACAAGACCTGGTGCTGACGCCACATCTTTGGCATAGCTTGGAGTGGGATCAGAGTTCACTAGCTGCTGTGATTCCAGTGGATGCTCACTAAAAGTTGTCCATGCTTTGAGTCACCTACATATTGCTTTCACCAGCTGCTTAGAGTTGGCTCCAGCTGAACATACCTCTTGCATGTCAGCTATGCCCACCCACATTCACATATCCCTGTCGCCAGGATGGCATTTTCATTAGTCACTGTTTTTCTGGACTCGTAACAAATTGTTTTTCTCACTAATGCAGTATAAGAGCTGAGCCATGGCTCCAGGCTCATCTGAAAGACATCTGCATCTTGAGCTTTTTAAAGAGCTGTGGCTGGGTACAACCTGCCCCTTTTCTCATACCAATGGCAGGACTAGAAGACTCTTTCTTGGCTCTCCTAATCAAGGCTATGCGTGGCTACCAGGCTGCGGGGTCAGCCTTTCTCAGGGAGTATTTAATTATTCACACAAAGATGACAAATCCTAACACAAAAGATAAAAAAGGCACCTTTAAGCCAGAAGGGTCAATGAACACCACTGAGCCTCCCTTCGGGTAACTATACCTAGGGCTTGTGTTATAAGTGACAGTCAAGGACTTTACAATGGAGACCCCATTTTCATGTCCAGCTCAGCAAACCTCAGCACAAGGAACTGCTTGGGGCTAGTTTTATGAGTACCTCAGCCAAAATGTATTCCTTGGAGAAGGAATGCACCCCCACGAGGGCTTTCTGCTCCTGATGGTGTTTAGGCTTTTGCAGGCAGTATGTTTGCAACTACAGGCAAATAAACAGGAGAAGCTGCAGTAGTTTGTTGTCAATCTTGAAAGGAAGAGAATGATAGTTTCTTTTCCTCTCTACTCCATTAACTGGTTTTACCTCTGGAGCTCATTCTTGAGATGGAACCTATGCGCCTCCAGGAAGCAGGGAAGGTTTTCAGCAGCTGTGGGACAGATGACCAAGTACTGAGCACCAGAGGAACAGGTAAGGGCGAATTAAAATGATTAAAAGCAATGAACAAAATCATGGAGAGTCCTTCCTAAGCTTCCTGGGCCTATGCATGCCCCTGCCCAGCTGTTTTGAGCAGTCTATGGGAGACTCACATAAACCACAGCATGGATTCCCAAAAATTCTCCCTCTGCCACCTGGCCAAAGCCAGCCTTTGGAAGAAGCTATTTATACTCCAGCAATGAGAGAAGCTGCCAGCAGCAAGGGCTGTAACCACAAAGGGTCTACCAGCCCAAGAACCCCCCAGCCACAAGATTTTCCCTTTCCATGTCTTTCCTGCAGTGAGGTGGCCATGAACATGAAAACTTTCTACTTGTGGGCAGCTGCTATATTGCTCGTTTGGCTTAAAAATCAAGTGGTTTATGGGAGTTAAAGCACTCTTAGGCCAACCACAACAGGTGTGTCACATGCTGCCAAGGAAGTGGCTGCCGGGCTAGGGCATCTGAAGCCAATGTGAGAAGGGCTGCCCTGACTCCATGAAACCCCTTTCTGTGGACAGTGTGAGGAAGCACCAGCAGCTGCAGGCGGTTCTATGACTGCATCCTACAGCAATCACTCAGCTGCAGGGGCAGCGAATCATCCCTCCCTGCCTTGACTGGAGGGACCTGGCTCATGTGTAGGTAGAGGAGATAGATCTCAGCCCTTGAACCAGACTATTCCAATAGCAAGTGGGGTTTTGCTGGCTAAGCATCCATGGTGAGCAGGGAGGGAACATCCAGCTTTACAGGGCTGTTTCTCAACTAGTCTGTAACAAAGATTTTGAGAAGCTAATCTTTAAAACCTTTCTGGGCATCTACTTTATGGACATTCCGTATCAAAAAAAAAAAAAATAAATAAACAGCTGCACGCTTTGGCAGGGCTGCCAGCATGCCAGCACCTAGCTGAAGATAGGAAGAAAGTGGGCTGCTCTCCAAAGTGCCAGTAGTGCTTCTTCCTGATGCTGCTGGCCACAGAAATGGGGAGGTGAATCCCCGCTGTTAGCTCCCAAGATAAAGGGAGGCCCGCAGAGGAACAATTGCTCAGCATTTTTATCAGCATCCAGCTGTTGCCTCTGGCAAGGTTGGCATCACACAACCAAAACAGTCTTAAAAAGGCCTCCAAGGGTGTTTGGCTCCTTTCTGCTGAAGTGGAAGGCGATGAATGCAGCTCTAATGGATCAAAACAGCTATGCTCATCCTCAACAGCATCCTGTGCATTCCTGCAGAACACACTTGCAGGGCTGCCAGCATTTGCTGGCACCCAAAAAAAAGAAAAGCTCCCTCAGGCCACCAGCCCTGGCCACAGCCACTTGGCTGAGATCTTTGCACAACAGCTTCCAGCTGCAGCTTCAACCAAAAGGCGGCCAACACACAGGGACTGCAAACCAGCACAGCTATTGGCATGCTCTTGGCAGTGGATTTTGTACTGTTCATGGCAAAAAACTTTCAGGCTTGGTTAGGGGCTTTTTTCCCCTCCCACCAAGACATTTTTCTCTGAGCTAAATGAATACAGTGTTTAACTGCTGCTCTCCCACCGTGGGCTAGCAGCAACAGAGATTTCCTGGCTGGCTGAGCCAGGGCTAAACATCCCAGCTTTTAATTCCCTGGCCACAAACCAGAGAAGCGGCTACAGAGCTGAAGCATAGATGGAGGTTCACAGGAGCAGAGGGAGGTGTCTTACCTGTCCAAGCCAGCAGCAGTGTGTGAGAAAGCAGAACTATCTTGACACAGATACTATTGCTCTTAAATAAAAGCATCCTCCCTAAAGGGCTGTCACTGAAAACACTGCCAGGACTGCAGCAGGCTGGCAACAGCCAGAAACTTGCTAAGGAAAAAAAAAGCAAATTACAGCTTTTTAATTTTTTTCTTACCCATTTTTAAAAAAATTACTCCAATTGTATTTCTCTGACAACAACCATGTTCTAAGCTTATGTTAATTCCCTCCTAAACCACTTTTAAAAAAATTCCACAAAAAAAGCCCCCCAAACCAAGGAAACCTGTGTTTCCTACTTACTTTCAGTTAAAATTTCCCTTTTGCAGGTTCTCCATCCTTGTTCTAAACTGAGGGCTGCACAAGGCTCCAGGACCATCACCCACTTAGGCTTTAGCATCCATCCCCAGCCCATGCTGAGTGGGCAAAGCCAAGGGATGGAGTGGGGCTGGCTCAGCTGGGTACCCAAGAGGGGGCAATGGGGCCACCAGTGCCTCTTCCACACACCCAGATATTCCCTCCACTGCATGAACATCCCCAGGTCTGCTGCACACTTTTCTCCTCAAAGCAGGCAGCCAAGGAGAAACAAGCTGCTGTAGCAGCATTCAGATATTAACATCATTGTTACTGCCTCATGGGAAATGGGAGTTTTTCTTTGCTTTCAGAGGGCAAAGAGAGTGGATTTGTAGATGGGGCAAGACCCAGATGGGACAGAACAACTGTGATACAGAAGCAGGCACTGAGGGGGAACAGTGGGGTGGGAGGGCAAAAGGTGGGAGACATGCCAAGCAGAGCAGCTGCTTCCTCCAGCCCCAAGACATCACTCCCTTAACCAAGCACCACAAAAGCATGAAAGTAAAAAGGTGAGTTTTTTCCCCCTCTTCATAAGCAATCAGCCTTTGTTCCCCTGTCAGCATCCAGCTCATAGGGGGTGCAGGAGACCTGAGCCAGCAGGGGAAATGTTTCTACCTAGCTGCTTAACCTGCTCCATGAGGCACAGGGAAAAAGCTATTTGGATCCTTCCCCGTTCCACAGCCCTTCCAGCCACTGAAAATCTTTCCAGGAATGAAAGATACAACCCTGATAAGCACATTTTAAAACAAGACAGGCATAGGTTTTAAAGCTGTCCTTCAGTTCAGGCTTGCGTTTAGGCAGCACCAGGGTAATTTGTAACCATTGGGGATTTTTAGCAATTAAGTAACTCCAAAGCTGTTGTGTGAAGTATGAAGCTTTGTCTTCCCAAATCACCTCAGCTTTTCAGCCCCAGGAAACAGCTGCTTGAGATGAAGATGGGTCAGAAGAGGAACTGGGTTATGAGGAAATACGCTGATTTCCTTTCCAACTCAGAGTTGCGTCACAGACTGTTGACAAGTGCATTTACTGGCCATGGACCTCCCACTTACCAGGATGTAGTGACTCCCAACCCTCCCTCACCCAGGCTCCACAGCAGGCAGCTACCACAGCACTGTGGCTGTGACAGCTGCTTGTTACTGCCACAGCTACTTGTCATGGCCATGATCCTTCCCTGCCACTGATTGTAGTTTAACCTCTTCTCCCAGATGACTGACAGACTTGACACCACAGAACAGCAGGACTTGCCCTTTTCCCTGAGAAACCGAAGGCAGCAATACATTTTTGAGAAGTGCAGCAAGTGCAACAAGCAGCAAAACCACTCCTCTTGCAGCTCACTGAAGAAAACAAACATAACCAAGTCCTTCATCTCCACAGCCTTTGAACTGACACTTCCATACAGCAGGCTGGAAGGAGAATTTCCATCAGAGGCTCTGAGAAAAGCACACAAGACTGCTTGGAGCACAGAACCCTCTAGTTAGGTATGTTTGCCCACACCAATTAAATACCCCAATCAGCCTGGAGGACAGATAGGATGACACACAATTTGCCATTCAACCAAACAGCAAGGCTGTGCTCATCATGGTTTGAAGCACCTGCTTTTCAAAGCAGCACCTCAGCTGTACGCAGGTGCCACGTAGCAATTTGCTCCGGGCTGGTGCCCAGGGCTCCCAGCCTCGGTATAACGAGCCAGGAAGGGGGAGGAGCCATTTCCACTCCCACATATCAGCCCCTCACAGTTTTAAACTTATGATGCACTGGAAATGGGAGCCAGGGCTATTAGGGGCTGCACAGCCATACCGGCACTGCCCTGCCCACACTAACTTCAGCTCAACTGAGAAGCTCAACTAAGCACCTGTTTCCTCTCCCTTTCCTTTAATCCTCCCAGTTTTTAACAAGGATGCAACAGGAAAGGTAAGATAACATCCTCACCTGGTCCCATTAAACAAATCCTCTGCAAGGAAAGCAAGAGACAACCCAGTGATTTTATCTAGGCTTTGAACCTGTCTCCCTGCCTTTCAGCCCCATTGGGTGAAGGCAGGTTACACCATAATTGTACCTCATCCAGCTCAGCTGGCCCAAGATCCTTTCTTGGGAAAGCTAAAAAAAATAAAAAAATAAAAAAATAAAAAATTAAGTTCCCACAGAACTAAAATAGGGTTTATTTAACCAGACAGGAACCTCAGAGATAACTAGGGCACACTCCACTCCCTCCTCCAGTCTCTCACTCCTCCCAGCCTGCTGCCACATCTATCTCACCTCTGCAGAAATGTACCTCCACCCTGCAGTACCGGGGGCCAAAAACTGACACAAGATAGCCAAGATGCAAAAACTCACAGCTGGTGAGTGGGCTATGCCCTCCCCTTTCAGGCACCTTAACCTCCTATGCCTCTGCCATTGCTGCAGTAGGAAAAAAGTTAATCATTTGCAGTCCAAGGCAACATCCCTGGTCAGGCACACAGTCAGCAGTGACAGCTGGGGCTGTGAAGGCATTTGTGTTCCTTTATTCAATCCAAACTGCCACAGGGTTGGACAGGTAGAAAGCGCAAGGAACCTGTTACTGTTGCATCTCAGAAAGAACCAGAGAAGCAACGGAGGTTTGCTCCAGGTCTGTCAAACAGATGCATTTCCTAAGAAGGAACACAGCAGGAACAGTATTTTATAAACACTCAGGTCTCAAGCACAGAGATGCACCTGGTTTGGAGAAAGTCTACACTAGGCCATTCCAACAGCTCTCTCCAGGAGGTCAAATACAGAAACCCCTCAAATCCTGCAACTCAGCAGAGCTCCAGTTAACATGGTCCCTTTCAACAGCTGTCAAATACAAAGGAGCCAGTACCATAGCCAGGCTGTTTTGGAAAACCTAGTCATTTTACCCTCTCCCCACAATGTTCCCAGTACCTAGACTCAGAGAGTGCTGGTGTTAAGACTCCTGCTCCCTCCAGTCATCCTCCTACCTTGATAGTGGAGCCATACCAGAACTGAGGACAAACTCAAGTGTTCTTGTCTGACAAAGAAGTTCAGCCAGCACTCAGTTTGAATAGCACATATTCCGTTCTGGGATTTTATTATTTTTTTCTTTTTTTTTTTTTCCAGAGATAAGTCTGTGCAATCATGAAAGATGAAGGTGGTTCACTCCATTATGACATTTCTTGGACTTTGCCTTATTGACTTCTCTTGCACTCCAGAGCCACAGGCAAACTGTGAAATCTGTCTGGAAACAGTCCAGTTGTAGCACACTAGCACCAGGCTATGCTACTGACAGTACCAAATCCCTGGCGTGATCTCTCCTGTGAGTCACCTTAAGAAACACATCAGACCAAAAGACATTACCTAGAATGGGTTTAAATGAGTTTTATTTTAGACAACCTACATGATAGATGTTTTTTTCGTTTTTCAAAACAATGCCTCCACTCCAAATCAGGGTCAAAATAAGTGAATAAAGCTCAAGATGACATCAGTCCAGTTGTTAGACATTGCCGATTCCTGGTGGTGTGCCGATGAAGAAGAAACAGCAGCCAGCTATGAAGACAAGTGATCCAAAACCATACTGTTTGATTTGTTACTGAAACAAGAGTAGCAAGTGTTAGCTCAAGGGTCACGACAGTCACAGTAAATTCCTACAACTTGTGTTTTCCCTAATTCAATCTGGGCTGCCACAGTCAGGCAGGCAGAAAGCGCAAGGAAATTGTTTTCGCATCTTAGTGCAAACCAGAGAGCAACAGGAAAAGTGCCCATGGTCTATCAGAGGATGCTGATCACTTTTACAGTCATACAGAGCACCTGGCACCAATCAGCTGCTGAGCAAGCTGGACAGAATACTCATTCATACCCTTTCCTAAACAAGTACCAAAGCATACAATCTACTCTCTTAAAACTGGAATACCCCGTCGATATTCTTTTACTCCATCTTGAAGCAGACATAGGCTACCCAAATTGCACATCCAAAAGGTGTGCCCCTGTAGAGAAGATGCACACAAGCTCCTGCTCCCAAGGATGTGCCTTCGAGGTCTGGCCTGTTCTAGGGCCCAGGACAGACATCACCATCCCATCAGGCTGCAGGAGGTGCCAGGTCTGTTTTGGCCAATAAAAGCATTCCTTAGTTTGCCTACTGCTCCACACTACAAGCTGGCTCATCTTTACATGATTTGCATACCAGAAAGTTTTTAAGAGGCTTTACAGATAAATTTAGCTGGCTATTAACAGACTTCATAAGTCCACAATGACTGGGCAAAGCAACTGGTGATCCCACACGGCACTTAATTCCACAGCTCTCCCAATAAGCAAAAGAAACGAGTGTTGGGATCCAAATACTGTTTTGTTGCAACCAAATTCCAACATAGAGTAGTTAAAGCAGACCACAGGAGCTGTCTTGGGCTCAGGTAGCTGGAGATTCCAGAGAGAATAAGGTTAAATACTTGGTCAAGTATTACTGTGTTCCAAAATTTAGGGCAACATTTAAACTGACAGTTCTTGCATAAAAAAATACAGGCATCAGATTAAGTGAAAGAAGATGGAACGTGACCACGCAAAGCAGTGCACAATTAAACCCCACCAGAGGGATCTGAACTACAAGTGCTTCATTTCAGAGCACATTGTCTTTCATCTAATAGTTTAAAACTATTCCCAATTACACACATCTCGCCAGGACAATTCCTTCTGCATTCCTTAGCCATTAAGTCACCATGAATCACTGCTGTGACACTACATCCCCCCATTTAGTACAAGTTAACAGCATTCAAGGGAAGTTTCAGGCACTTTGCATAATATGAAGCACCAAATAGGCTGTACTTACACAGACTTCTAAGTTTTTAAACTGACAGCTACTGTTCAACTTACACAGGGATAAGAGAGAACAAGTGCTGCACTGAAGGAATCATCACATAGTCAGGCACATTCACCCAATTCAGAGCAGTACTTACACACTTCTCGATTTCTAAGCCGTCCTTAAAGAAAATCATATATGGGGTTACACCATCCTCACGGAAGTCCAGGAGAGCCACCATACCATCTGGATTCATGTTCTCTCCTACAAAGAACTTCAAAGCAACGTGTTACTGAGACATTTAATCAGCCATTACCAGGAGAAAATGCATTTTTATACAAGAACAATACAAAGTCACCAAGTTCAGGTTAAAAGTCTCCCTGATCAGTTGCAGGGATTTTGCTCTCCACAGCTTGCCCATTTTAGTACCACAGGAGGGAAAGGATGCAATCCAAAGGAACAGGCTTGAGAGGTGAGCTCATAGGAACCTCATCAAGTTCAACAATGCCAAGTGCAAGGTCATACACCTGGGTCAGGGCAATCCTGAGCACAAACACAGGCTGGGCAGAGAATGGACTGACAGAAGCTCTGAGGAGAAAGACCTGGGGTACTGCTGACAGAAAGCTCAACATGATCCAGCAATATGCACTTACAGCCCAGGCATTCAACTGTATCCTGGGCTGCACCAAAAGGAGCATGGCTAGCAGGTTGAGGGAGATGATTCTGCCCCTCTGCTCTGGTGAGACCCCAGCTGGAGTGCTGCATCCAGCTCTGGAGCTGGGATCCCAAGGTAAGAAGGATGTGGACTTGTTGGAGCAAGTCCAGGACAGCCACAAAGATGAAGGCCGGAGCACCACTCCTGTGAAGACAGGCTAACAGAACTGGGGTTGTTCAGCCTGGAGAAGAGAAGGTTCCAGGCAGACTTCAGAGCAGCATTCCAGTACCCTAAAGGGGGCTACAGAAAGTCTGGAGAGGGACTTTTTACAAAGCCACATTGCAATAGGACAAGGGAGAATGGCATTAAACTTAAAAGGACAAATTTAGATTATATATTACAAAGAAATTCTCAAGTATAAGGTGGGAGGCATAGACCCAGGTTGTCCAGAGAAGCTGTGGATGCCCCACCCCTGGAAATGTTCAAGGGCAGGTTGGATGGGGTTATGAGCAACCTAGTCTAGGGAAAGGCGTCCCTGCCCATGGCATGGGGACTGGAATTTGATGATCCTTTCCAACTCAAACAATTCTGTGATTCTATAATTTTACCACACTGCTATGAACAGTGTAAGACTCAGCAAGGGCCAAAGTGATCCACATTTCAAGTCTTCTAACTCCACAATCCCTAAACCACAATAACAACAAACCCAGCTAACTACAAGCACTATGAGCTGAAATGAGATCCCCAAACACCTAACACCCTTTTGCTGTTTCTCCTCCCTAAGTCTCAGAGAAGAGCAAGTAAGACATCCTCACAACAGGAGAACTCAAAATTCTCAACAAGGCAGTTCAGTAGGTGAACCAGCTTGTAACACTGCAATACTATGGTAAGGAGACACAAGTTACCTGGTAGTTTTTGAAGTTGGCAAGGATGTGTTTGATTTGTTCTGCAGCCCCTGTCATGAAAGGCTTTACTCTCTCTGGCTTGTGTTCCTCAAGTCTGGCTTTGATTCTGGAGGGGGGAAAAAAATATCAAAACTCTGAAAACATGTTCTAGTTTAACTTCACTGTGTAAAGTCACATCACAGCAGAAACAGTTACTATCAAACTTTAATTTTGCTTTCTCCCCACTCCCTTTCGAAGCCCCCACATTTTAATTTAATTTTGCTAGTGAAGTAGCAGAACAGTGCCTGCCACTCATATCAGGGTCATTTTACTTCTAGGCTAGCGGTAGACAAAAATCAGCAAGTCATTTCCACAGCACCAAGAGTACTTTCTATCAGTGTCACAAAGCATTTTCACCTTTAGTAGCAATCCACTGAACACAGATCAACAGAAAGTACATCTTGAATTAGCAAAAAGTCCCATTCGCATACATTTGTTAGATATTTGCCAACTTAGAAAAGCTTCAGAAAGCTTTTCTTTACCACCTCACTCCCATCCACAGGAAGGTTTGGCATAAAAAAAATACAGAAGAAAACAGCAAGGTTACAAACTAGATCTAAAGCATGTGATCAGGTCCTCTACCTCAGCCAAGATAAACATAGATATTCCAGCATCAAACTCTGGAGCTCCAGTTCTGCCAAGTATTCAGACATTGCTGAAGTTTACAGCCACTTTCACACCTGTATCAGAACTAACACCTACTAGGAATATGTCCAGTGCTGTTTTTAAAATCTCAACCACGCAAAAACTCTGCAATCCCATTCAAAGGAAAAGCCTATCAACACTTACGCTTTCATGTAATCCTTGATGTACTTCTTGTAGGATTCTTTTGTGAAGCTGGTCTCCTGAAGGTGGTGGTTAATTACTATATCAACACCAGTTATGACCGTGGCTTCTGTTCCATCTCCCTCTGGACCTTCAGCAGAGGCATTGCCACCAATTAGAGAGTCATCAATTTGACCCTCTGTCCTGGTGACCATCTGGATTTAGAGACATCAAAAAACTTAACGGCTCTGCAAAAAACCTTAATGCTACCACTCTTACACACCTACGACTTGAGAGCAGGACATTACTCCAGAGCCACAGATCAGTGCAAGGAACCTGACTGCAGCCTAAGCACTAATTTCCCAGTGACAGGAGAAGGGGGAACAAGTTCAAATTGAAAGACAGGTTTAGATTAGACACTAGGAAGAAATTCTTTACTGTGAGGGTGCTAAGGCACTGATACAGGTTGCCCACAGAAGCTATGAATGCCCCATCCCCCAGAAGTGTTCAAGGCCAAGTTGGATGGGGCTTTGAGCAACCTGGTCGAGCAAAAGGTGTCCCTGCCCATGGCAGGGGGGTGGAACTAAATGGTCCTTAACATCCTTTCCAACCCAACCCATTCTATGATTCTGTGACTGCCATGCCGGGTGCCTCTCCTGGTGCCTGACCCAGGCTCCATTACACTCCAGCCTGGTTGACCCGGGCTCTCTCAGGCACCACCGGGGTAGCAGCCAGCCTTGCCCCGGCACACGCACCGGGCCGTGGTGGGTCACCCCTCCCTCGGGCCCCTCGCATGGACGCCACCCCCGCTCCCCACCGGCCCTGAGTCACCGCAGC